TTCATAATTTGTTAATAAAATTTAGAATTACTAGAATAGAATTTATTGGCCTACTAGTTTTGCTGTTCTTTTGGAAATTACTCCGAAAATGTCTGATATCATTTTGATGTTCAAATCATGTTATTTCACTCATTATGAAGGTAAGAAGTATATACATAGGTCAGTATTGCCGTGCTTCTGTTGCAACATTTTGAGAAAATCATGAGAACAAGTTGTACAGTTACATCCCACTTTTTCATTACTACTGAATCTTTTTGTGAAGATAAACATCCAACTTTTTGAAAAATATCATCATAGCATGTGTGTACGTAAGCAAAGCATTCAAAATGAAGATCGGTCTGATTAAACCATAGATTATGCTGCCGTGTCGTTCTAAATCTTAGAGGTCTAGATACATATTGTCCTTGATAACCATGTAGATTTCATTGGCTCTCCGCCATTTCCGTTCTCATTTTAGGCAGTTACCCTGGTAACAGTGGCTGCCAGAAATTTGAACATGTTGTGAACATTTGAGAATAAAATTTGTAGTCTGCAGGCTTCCGTTTTACACCACTATGTGAATTTTACGAAATAAAAATAATACTATGATTATGAGAAATTTATTTTTTAATATTAAAATAGTAACGAAATCAATAAATTGTTACATCGAGTCTGACGCCCTACTATAATACCGACACTTTTCGTGCTTTGAAGACTCGTGTATAACAGACCTTGAGTTGCTTGTGATTGCTGACAATACGCTCCACGGACCAAATAAATGAGTAGGATAGGCTGGAAAAACCATGAAAAGAACTAATTTACGTAAAATAAAATTCATTATATATATCAGTTGACCCAACCTTTAGTTTAACTGAACCAAATTCCTGCCACGGACTACGCCCTCTGTGAGCCAGCGTGACTAGAAAGACTTGAGCGTGAGCAGCGACTCGTTCGTCAATAAAATACAAAGTTTGAAACGAATGATGTTTAAAATAATGTTGACATTGAATGGGGTAGTTAATTTCCGTTTCAGCTGTACGCTCGAAAATTATTTTAAAAGCTGAACTCATTGTTTAGCTGAATCGTCACGTCTTTGAATTGCCAGTGCACAATAGCGGCATTGATGGCTAACACCTGAGAGGATGGTCGATAAAGCAGAATTTTATGACCTCGGCAGACCCTTTGCTCAATGAAACAGATAGCTGACTCGTATATATTTTCGCCAACCGAAGGGAAGACATTGTTTTCTGTTCCTGATGCTACTACGCCCCCGATAGTGCACAGTGGTTGTCGTGGCAACGTTAAGGTGTCACAGGGCTGACATCAAGACTGTGTGAGCATTCAGCCAGGCGTAACAACTGCTTATACCTGGATACAATAGACAGAAATCGGGAGCGGTGTTTAGAGGGACTAAACCGCTATGTTGAATAGTACTTGCCATTGGCTATCTCCGCACAACACGAGGAAGGGTGCATATCTTTCGCGGGTTTCTCGACTTTCATCGGTTGGCCACATGTAAAAGCACGGCAATCCATGCCTGTGTTGGTCAGGGTTTAAGGATTACGCGTTGTTGACATGCCTGTCTATAAGAACCAGCCGAAGAACGTCAACGTCTTCATACACGGGCAGCAGTATAAGATCACGCCACGGAGCGTTAACGGCGATGGCATCAAGACGGAGATCGGTGATGAGTACGGGAAAACCCCACTCCAAGTCGGAGTAGCTATCAATTCAGATCGTAGCGTGGTCGAGGAGACCCATAGCGATCCTGGTGTCGGCACCATGACTGGAATAACGATCCCGATCGAAATCCGTCCTGCCTGATCGATCACACAGCCGATCGATGGATCGATATATGTCAGATCGCGAGAGAAGAGCGGCGATTTTAGCCAGAGCGGAGGAATTGTTAAGAACTAATAGGGTGAGTAAACATATCACAGCTCGCTAGACCAGAAACAAATTTGGTATAATTTGATATCTGTGTGTTCCTTTAATAGAAAATTGTACGTACCTGTGAAATTATTGTACACGTAGTTGCTTGTTACGGGATTAGTATATGGATATACTGAGGCACGATAACAGCTAGTAAATACAATAGACATTAACGACTATCGAAATTCAAGGTAAATATGTTTTTCAAAGAATACGTGTAATTCCGACAATCGCGGCAATGTGATTAATTCTACGTTGACATGGTACTCACTGAACAGATGGCGAAAAGAGAAAACATTTTTATAGTATAGCGCATATAAAATCTGTTGTTGTTTTTTTCTCTCTCGTTAAATATTGTTAAAATGTATGATTTCAGACTTTGGAATTACTATAAAAAAGAATGATTAAGTCGTTACAATACATTCCATAATTATTTGGCTAATTAAACTTAACCTTCGCATCGGAGTGTAAATTCCAGTGAATGGGAAACAAATTACTAATACGCGGATGGACTACCAATTATCGTGACTCCTACACCCAAACAAACGGGTTGCTAGCCGACCTAACGTATGACACTGAACAGCGCCGAATTCACCAAACTGTGCGTGCGGTGCGATCATTATGCGAATAAAAAACACCGTCATTTTGAAGACAATCCTCACCAGAGTGTGGGTATAGTGACCTTTTTTGTACTGCTGACATTATACTAACTAAATCTCGTTTGCGCAAACATCCACTCTGGCATTTCGGACACTGCGTACACTTCATTGAATAAGTACTTATAGGCGCCCTAGACATAATACTGCAGTCGATCACGTCTGTCGGTGATGTGTCATATCAAAACGTAATTTGTTCAGACCGTAAACGTTTCTGTTGCCATGGTATCATCAGCTGTGGGTCGTCAGTGGTTAAGTCGTAACAACCGTAATCTCGATTTATGCCGTGACCTTGGTGGGTCTGTGCATTGCTCCCTTTATCGGTAAAATACCATACGCATTGATAAAATTTACCATGGAAATAATCGGCACCTTTACATAAACACGATAACTAAAAAATAACGGGTTGGTAGTCACGTGATTACACCCTAATTTGTGGACAACTATTGTATCCGGCAATGACGTGTGATATGAAATACCAATGACGTATTTTATTGATATTAACATGAAATATGAGATAAAAACGGTTTAGTTTTAACGAGAATAGATGCATTTTTATGGAAAATGCGTAGTTGTCGATATATGTGTTCAATTTTGTTTTGCTTCTTTTCTATTGTTGTAGCCGAGATACACACATAAGTTTTCTTATTTTAGTTTCCATGGAAACCATGATTTTGAAATTCCTCTGACTTTATTTTAAAATAAGTACAGGCTGAGAAATTTGGTTAATTTGTTTTCATGTATATATCTCCGTTCCACTCTGTCCTAAACGTGTGAGTATTTGTGTGCCGGGAAGCTTGAATTTAATATCACATATACGTCAAATTGGCCTGTCCCCTAATTAAATTTCCCTATAAACAGTCCACGACCTCTTTGATACTCAACGGGTTCAGAATGAGATTGGACACCAACTAATATAGATTCCAACATAGTCTTTTGTCATTTACACGCGCAGACTATAACACTTTGAGCTAGATTTCCCGCCAAAACGATCGACTTTAATTTTCCACACTTTCTATACATTTTCTTTTGCCAATTACGGACCAGAACAAACTAACCGTATTCACTGCCGTTTCCACATTTTGAGTAAATTCACAAAAAATAAGTATATTATTTGGCAGCCATTAGCCCGCGAGAATTCGACACAAATTAGTAATAGCAGCACGCAGATTAAACGTCAATATGTGTTCTTTCTTGTTCATTTCAAAGCACGTAACATAATCGGACAGTAATCCCCCAGGGGAGGAAAACTGTTTTGCCCTCAGATCGCTATCAGCGGTCTCCTGCTTTTCACCAAGATTGTTTAGTACAGATTATTTTCACGTTAATAGGCAGGTTGTCTACTATTCTTTTTTAATATTAAAGCGGGAGAGTCGTCATCTGCGCATGCATCAGATGGCCATAGCGTGTCATTGTTTACAAACAAGTATCTACCTATGAGCCTTTGCGATTTTTGCGTGTGTTTTTATCGTCGCTTGGGACTCAATTCCCGCGCGTGCACAGGTGACAACCATCCCGCTTTAAGTTTTGGCGCCCCTTTCATTAAATTTGGCGTCGAACATCATTATTTGGTCCGCTCTTACAAGTCTAGGAATCGATTTTGATCAGAGACTCACATAATATTAATTAAAATTATATACAAGCCGTATAAAGAGTGGTATCTTTAATTTGGTAATTGTATTAAACGATATTTGCAAATTGGTTCTGATTACTGTAATATCGTGTGGTCAATCTTTTTTTTCTGTATTCTATTAATATTTCGCCGAACAAAAGCACGTTTTATATTACAAAACGGATACTCGGGTTAACGAATGGGGAAACACTATTCAGCATTGTCGTGTGTAACGTGTATTTTTTTTCTGCTCATTCTGTACTTTTCGCTTATTTGTGTCGCCATGGTCACCTGGGTGATGGCGGTTCCGGTAACGCTAAGGATGATGTAGTGCCTTGCCAGACCGAGCATTATTTCTCGTCATATCATTCATGTAATCGAATACGACAACCAATGACAGCAACTGTGCATGCTCCGAGGCTAGCAACAAAACAATTTCTTGATTTAATAGTAAATTCTAAGTGTCATTTCTTTACTCAGTTGTGTTTGCTTTTCTTATCATTCTGACACGATTTCAAGTTGTTTGTTGATCGTATCAAGCACACTATTGGGGGATAAACACTATGTTCATCATGATTATGCAAACAACAAAAACAACTGACTACCGTGACCAACTAACGAAACTAAATCAATATTAATACGTAATATAGTTTTTGTTATACGTCGAAATGATACACGGTAAACTACAAACTTCATTCACAAACACATTTCTTCTCTAATGTCTTTTGTTTATCCTATGCCCAACATATTCACACGATTGACATGTCAATGTTAGAGCACATGACCGAACTTTTTTGCAGCTTCGTTCGAACTTTTCATTTTAGCAAGCACGATTCTACCATGTGCCATAGACCTAGCATGGGCGTGTGTAATTCCAACCATGCCGTAACTAGCCATCTAACAAGGTATGGTCAAAGTCATGACTAAATTTATATACATGTAATTAGCAAATTTACATAAATCGATGTTGTCATGTTTTTTTCTATATCGACGAAAGCTCGTTCTTCTCAGGTACTAATCACATACAGTTAACATCGGAGCTGAATTTGTATATATTTACATACTGAACTGAAATTAAATTTTAGGATTCCAATTCTTACATAATGTTTATGCATTCAAGTGGGTCAATGTTGGGTCAATGTATACTTTATTAAAACTCAATTGGCGCTGGCTAATACAGTCAGTTTGTACATACTACTAGTATATTGATCTGTATTGCAACATAATATTATGTGTCTCTCAATAGATGCATTCAAATACTGTATCTTGGCATTTGGGACGGGTAGGGGGGGGATCTATGGAACTTATCGAAACAGACCGAATTTGTCTAGTTTTCAAAATTTCAACTTGAAAAAGGGTCTAAACACAGTCCCTCTATCACAGAGGGACTGTGGCCTTAACTTGATCCATAACATCGCTCGTTTCCTAGGATACCTTAAAGTGCGGTGGTCGTTCGCGCAGCGCGTGTTCGAATTTCATGTAAATAAACAATGTATTTTACAGGCGTCGTATACGTCGCTATGAGTCCCATGTCGAACAGGACGCGGCACGACGACCACCGCCCTTTAATATGGTGCTTATCAACTTGAGCCCGGACACTCAAGTAGAGATTATTCAACGATAGTGGGACTTAGAACAACAACGGGCGTCACGTGATAAAAGTATTGTCCTGGCGGGAAACAATATACCCAACAAATAGAGTTCCAAAGGAAATAACCCGGATGCTGACACAGTAGATGGAAATGAACGTCGAATCTTGATGTACATTTCTGCTTTGTGCGAAAATAATCTATAATTGTGAGGAATTATTTGAATAAATACATAATTTATTACCAGGAAATTAAGTCCAGTAGAAATATATTACAATGGACGTCTCATCGGATTACTGTGGCTCGGTTCACACCGTTGAATGAGCGTTATTTTCGAATATTAATTTTAAAATGAGTATTTGTCCACGAGTTGTAATATCGGAACAGCCACTTTTTATTAGTACGTGGCTGCCTGAAACATGTTCATTTCATATAAGCGATGAATTAAAATTAATCAGTACAAAAACATGGCGAACGTTGCCAAGAATACTCAAACAAATTGAGAGAAATGTGCTTGAACGTGTATTACGACTAGCCACTTTATAGCGAAGTTCTGGTTTCCGCTTCTTGTAACTTCATGTACACCCGGGTACTTTTTGGGGGTACATATTTGCTACCAATCATGATGAGAATTTCTTAATTATTTTCTCCCAGAATGCAAGTTGTTCCAAAAAAATTAAGCATGGAAAAAATGACGTATAATATTCAGGAAAATATAGAGCAATACTGATTTATGTAGTCATGGTGTTCAAAACAGTGGACGTGGTGATGAAACAGAATGAAACATTATTCGAGAGGCAAGACAAGTCTCGTGGCTCTCTCGTTCCCAGCGAGATGTGGACGGCCATTTGCGTGCAAGTTCCATTGCGACATGTTTATTAGAGTATAATGATAGAATAATACTTTGGTACATCGCTCGTACAATTTAATACAGTCGTCTTGGAAAATTACCACGTATATCGCCGAAACGAGTGTTCTTTTTAAAGTGTTTTCCAATGTTACTAAAACTAATTAAGAACAGTGTATTTGACGTGATTGCAACTACTAAACGGTTCGGAAAGTGTTCCAACTAAATGGTCCAGATAGTGTTTCAAACACTTTAAACAGTGCTGCAACTAACGGTCCTGACAGT